CTTAACTTGTTCTATTTCTTTCTTTCTTCCTATCATGTACTAATATTAACTGCCTGAGGACAAATGAGAACACGACCAGAAGATCAATAGGAGAAAAAGAAAATTCGAACAAGAAAAGAAGAATTAAACTTGCACCGGCAAGAGGAAGCAGACAGAAAGGATCATGCCGGTTGGAGACAGCCAATGTATACTGGACGAAGCTTGTATCTAGTAACCGTAAGTAGGATAAGAATCGTAAAAGGTGTGTGCTTGCTTGATAAGATCCTAACTTTACTTTAAATACACGGTAGGAATCGAATATTCATTTATGATTAAGGTTTTGCCCATTTTTCAGTGGGAGTGGCAATACTCATTGATGAGTGATTTATCGTACCCATTTATTAGTAACTGTTAGCAGCTAATGATTAATTGATTTACCTATTTTAGAATTACCTATACTTCACATCAGATCCTCATTTCCTTCAATTACTACTCCGTCGCAGCACACACCTTATATGGATCGCTAACCTTTATTTAGTTTCAGCATTTTCGACATTATAATCAAAAGGTGAGTTTTAAAAGTATAATTACCATGCATATAGATAAGTTAATGTACCAGAACCTGGACGGACACGAGCCTACCCAGGGGAGGACCCGGATACGACCACCCATGTGTGTCTAGAGTATCACACGAGCTGACGAGTGCAACGGGAAGGACAGTAGGTGTATAGACTAGGGGGTTGGTCCCTAGATAAGCCTTCTTAGCGGAAGGCACAGCCTATGCACTGAACAATTACAAAAATTACAATTCAGATACTGCTGTATCTTTTTTTCCTTGCTTCGTTCCACTACATATTCATCACTTCAGATTCAATTCTTTGTACTTTTCGTTTTCTTATATATTTCATTCATTTCTTCACCATCATATTATATATAATTTTCTTCCTCTCCGTCTTCTGCTAACTCCTTTCGTCATCTCATATTTCTTGCTTCTTGTATTCCCATCCGCTGCCATATTCTTTTCCTCTCCGACAGCTTCTGCTTCCCCTCTGTCATCTTTTCATTTCCAGCTTCTTGGATTTCCATTCGCTTCAATCTTCTTTTGATAGCCGGTTTCACCATCTTTATCGCCATCTTCTTCATCCGTGTTTGTGTCTGTATTCACCATTCTGTCTTCTTTTACCCCTTTTCGTTTTGCTTCGCGCTCTACTTCATGCTCTGCATAACCATCTTCTTCTGCACCTTATCCTGCTTTTTCCGCCTCATCATCCGTCATCTTCATCAGCTTCCATTTTTACCCTTAGGTAGCGGCAACTCTTCTCCTTCGTATTCTTGATTTTCCTTCGTTCTTCGCTTAATCTTCTGCCCCCCTTTCTTCATCTTGTTTTCCATTCATGTCTTCTTCTGCTCCCACTTTGTATGTTTCTTCTCCATCATTCTCTGTCTTCTTTTGTTGTCTTTAACGTCCTCTGAATCCGCTTCTCTCTTTTCCTCATTTTCACAATGTTTGATAGATATTAGCTTCATGCAGGAACTTCAGTAACCGCTTTTCACTGTCATCATCGTTACATAGTGCCCTATAAAGACTAGTTGGATTGATTTCATGTTTCGTCCTGACTGCTTACAATTTCTTGCAGTTTAGAATTACGTGCCGGACATCCATTTGCATGTCGGTGACGATGATTTCTTTAATAGAAATTCGTGTGTCAGCCTGGTAAACGAGTGAGTACTCGCTGGTCGGCAGAATTTTTCTGATCGATCCACTTTTTCGTGTCACGTTTTATCTCCTTGAGCTTGACTTCTATAAGTTGCGCCCATCGTGCCTCCCACTGTTGACGGACGGCTTGGTTCATTGCCCTAATGGCATCTTTTCCTGGAATACCGATATTGATTGGCGGATTATTTCATGCTTCTCCGGCGAGTCGGTCCGCTTTTTCGTTGCCACGGATGCCGGCGTGGCCGGGAACCCAACATAAGTGAATCGGACGGCTTCGAAGCAGACATTCAATTTCTTGGATCCAGGGATGCTGCGATTTGCCATTCTCTATTGCTGCAAGACAGCTAGCCGAATCGGACAGAATGATCGTGTCAATTATTGTACTCACCTCGTTCACAGCCGATTTGATCGCATAGGCCTCCGCCGAAAAAAACGCTACATTGTGACGGAAGGCCTATTGCACTCTGCACGCTGCCGCTGATTACTCCTGCTCCTACTCTGTCTTCACACCTAGAACCGTTGGTATAGATAGCCGTAGCACGGTGAAACCGGTTTGCCAGCAACTCCTGAATGATGGGACACACTGTATCTGGGGGATCTCCCGCTTTCACCTGTCGTTTCACGTCCCAAACAATGCGTGGCTTGGGAGCATACCACACTCGATTGGCAAAACGTGTCCGTACAGCGATGGTCGGAAAAATTATATCAACCGCCGCCAGACGATCGGATACACGTTGAAAGACTGGAAGGTCGACATTTCTGCGATCCTTTTCCAGCAAGCGAATGGCAACTCGAGCTGTAGCTTGAAAAACCAGAAGATCGAACGGTAATGTGCCCGCTTCAGCCATAATCGCTGGAATCGGGCCGGTGACGTACGCTCCTGAGGTGAACCGGACCATCCGGTTGTAGATGGGTGCGAGAGTTTGCACAACCGTATCCTTCTCTCTGCTGACAAGTCCGATGCCGTAAAGAATGCGTGACGTAACGATTGCCGATCCTATGCACAGAAGAGACTCGCATTGCCCTCTTGGAAGTTTAGCCCCGATTATTTTAAGAATTAGCAGCCTTGAGTCGCATATAGTTTTCATAGTCTTACAATGCTGTTTGAAAGTCAGTGACCGGTCGAGGGTGACACCGATGACTTTCAAACGATTCGTCTTCGGTACAACTACACGATCGATGCTGCTAGGTTCTCGACGGGCGTTGGGACTGCTGTAGAAGATGTTCGATTTCGTAGCTGATATTTTGAACCCAACGCTCTTCACCCACTTATCGACAGCTTTCACCGCGGCTTGTAGATCGCGATAGAACGGTCGTTACTTATTTCTCCGTACCACCAGCAAAATATCGTCCGCATATAAGAGCACGGTGACAGTATGTGGCACCACTCTGAAGATTGGCTGCATCGCGACGAGGAACAACGTGACCGAAAGGGAACTCCGTTTTCCAATGGCATTTCACTCGATAAATGTTCCTCCACGTTCACTCGGAATGTTCTGTCGGCGAGGAAACTGTTCAACACATTGAACATCCGCCCACCTATCTGCCACTTCCGCAGAGTGCGAAAAATGCCGTATCTCCAGGTGTTATCATATGCCTTCGATATGTCGAGTGATGCTATCAAGCAGTGTTCATCACGATTTGGGAAGCGACCTATCCAACTCCGCCAAGTACGTTTTAACCCCGCGTCTAGCTCTAAAAGCTTGCTGCATTTTGTCTAATTGTCCTTTTGACTCCAACTCCGTCGTCCATATACGATTCACCATGCGCTCGAGCACCTTCGCGATACAGTTGGTTAGAGTGATAGGTCGGAAAGCTGCAGGACCAGACTCAGATAAATGCGACTTCGGCCCGAGGTCTGTGCTCTAGAAAACTTCAAATGATAGGGCATATTAGCTATCATGATGGCCATTGTTGGACGCTTCAAGGAATCACCTTAAACTTAGTTGAATTCAGACTAAGTTTATCTAATCCACGCCTAATTCCACGAAAGTCCTGAAATTCGCGTAGTCGTATAACCCCTAAACGTTACTATTTCTGCGTTCTTCTACTCAGTATGCAAAATCGGTCGCCATTAGGCCTTCGAGCCCCTTACTACCAAACATTGATAAAATCCTCTATCGAGCTGCTGCTACCACCGTTCGATAATACTGCTAGTGCTCGGAACGACGACGACAACGGCAATAACGCGAAACAAAATACCTGCAATCAATTACAGCAAATGACCTTCTGGGATTGATTCAATTATGATTTCTGACCAGCACACTGTTACACAACATAGCTTCAATATTAAAGCCATTTTGCGATTTGTGCACAATTTCGGTATTTTAACGGACTTTTTAACGTTTTGAAACCATTTTGGAGCATCGAAAGTCATTACTACCATAACCATACTTGTCAATGAAAACGTTTAACGAATTCAAGCCATTTTACCCTTTAGAAAGGAAAATTGGCATTATGAAAGCCATTTCGATGTTTTTATTAATACTTCAGAAGCTTTGAAGCCATTTTAGGCGTTTCAAAAGTAATTTTACTGTTGTAAAAGCCATTTCAATGCTTGAATGATTATTTGTTATGTTTTTGGCGGTTACAAATCTATGCTTGCTATATAAACGCCAATTTAGTGTTATAAAATCAATTTTGAAGCAGTTTTGACGTTTCGAAAGCCATTTAGGCTATTCAAAAGTAATGTTGGTGTTGTGAAAATCATTTTGTCGGTTCAAAAGCCATCACGCCGTTTTGATGATAACGGGATTCCCAAAGTATGCACCATTGTTTCTAAAGCATCGCATTGCGAAAGAGATGTGCAGTGTGCATTGGCTTTACACCGGTCCTTATAGATATGTGTGCACATGCAGAGTGTGTCAACAATTCCTTTATTTTTAATATCATAGGTTTAATACAATATTCTGCCATGCACACGATCTACTATCCGTCCGACATGAATTTTGAAGCATTTGATATCTGAATGTGCTTTGCGGTGAACTGCACGGAGCTCTTTGTGTGCTCTTTTAAGCAGAGTGCACATCTTTTAAAACTGTGCGTGCTTTCTCTTTTGCTGACTCAATTATTCTTCTCTCGATATGGTAGTGATGCAGAAGTATATTTGGTCTCTAGTAACAACGATTGCCGAACTAATCATTCTTTCCCTTTGGAAAGACCGATTTTGTAAGGTAGTAACCGGATTCATGGCTGTGTACAGCCTAAATATTGCACAAGTAATTGGAGAGATTAAAAAAAAAATCTATCCCACAAATCGATACCGATGAGAACTTCCTTAAATATTAAGAGCTAATAAACCTACCTTGCATCCTTCGCAGGTGAACGCTCCAAAGTGAAACCCAGCTGCCGGTTCGCCGCACACTTTACACTGTTGATTCATCTGGAAAGAGCCGAAGAGAAAAAAAAAAGGGAAAACTCATTAGATACAAATTGTTCCAGTTCAAGTCCAGACATCAGGCAAACGCCCACTCCCGAACCCGAAGCCCGAATCCCAACATTGTAGTAAGCCCTGATTTGTGGCATCGTTCCCACACGTCTAAGTTCAAATGCGCCCCAAGTGGCATGATTTAGAGCCATCCGGGATCCACCCCTTTCCATTGGACGGAGCAAAATCCATCCCGTGAAGGTAGTGTCATAAAAGAACCCCGAGCATCCTCGCCGCGAAGAAGGTGAAATATGCTTCACTTCTGACACCGTCGTCTCACATCGTCTCCGTCTTGGAGGGACATAAATCGTTCGTTCGTTCCCGCTGGCTGGCTGGGCTGCCTTCGGACTCAATCGACGACTGACTATTGATGAATGTCTCCAAACTGTCCCGGGGTTATTTTTTCTAATTTAGTTAGAGTGGACGTGCAAGTTTGTTTTAGTTTGCTAAATGTTACGCCACGCTCGGTTGCCGCTGCTGCCGTTAAAAATGACCACTCATTAGCGAGGTGCGAGCTGCCTGCGGTCCCATCTCCATACTCCACAGACGTGTTTAGCGAGATGTCGCAAAGTGTGTGCTGCGATCGATTGGAGAAGATGGCCGAGTCCATGTCCCCAGTCCAGCAGAAGCACAAACACACAAAACGGTAGGTAATTTATTACCGATAATTTAAGGCTGGTAATAATATTCAATATTGTTCGCGATCGCTAGCCAACGGCGAATGACAACCGTTGTTGGGCTCGTCCCTCTACTCGGGCAAGATGGCGGCGGCTGACGGCATGTGATCTAGAGAGACGGATGCTGCTGGGTATTGCTTCTTAATATGGCTCTTTTTGTGTGTGTGATAATGATCACTTTCTCTGTCCCAATTTGCTGATGGTTTGCGCATCTTCTCAGCCCGATTTTTTTGTCTCCTGCATGGACTCAGACGGGACCCCAGACGACCATCAAACTTGTACACCGGGCGCGAGCGGGCTTTGTGAACGGATCACGTGCGCTTATCATGATACGTGAAAGATGGCGCGACGCCGATTAACTATATTTATACGTATAAACATACACACATCGAATGGTGTAGTCATTATTTGTAATTCAATTTAACATTTTTAATCCATTGGCACATGCTGCTGCTGCTGCTGTTGCTGCTGGGCAAAGGAAGCGGGCGGGTGGGATGCATTGAAGCGTGCGCGTCACCCCGTGATTTTTATGGCTTGTTTTTTCTCCCGTCGTCGTCGTTGTCGTCGTTGTTGAAGTCCGTTTTGGGAATGCGCGGGGGAGGGGAAGTCGATACTTGCATTTTTTATTACTTTCAACTCTGACGCTGACCTGTACCTGTGTGTGCCGCGCGGGATGGACAGAGCGAACGGCACCAGAAGGCGGTCTATGCGGATAGATCAACGACGACGGATGACAGTCAGCGGTGGCGTATCTGCCAAACAGAGAAATTCAGCAGCTCAACACAGGTTCAGCTGAATAGAAGCAACCAACGGCGGTTGGCAAGGAGAAGGCTTATGTTTACAATTTTATAAACTTGTTTTAAATGCTTGGATTTGCACGGTTTGGGGTTGCGCCGATGGGCTTTGATAGTCGATTAATTTCGCCGTCGTTACAAGGTGGGTTTGTGTGGTGGCAGGGAGGTTCGCAAGGGAGGTCAGCAGTAGAAGCGTTGAATGCCGTTTTCTTCAAATGAGATTAAGATAGGCCCAATTGAGTTGTGTTGATGGAAGGAATTCCCCGGAGACGTTGGGGAATTCGGTTGAAAACACTTCAGTGGTTGAAAATGGATATGGTCGTCGTTGGTCGTGCCAATCGGATGCTATATGCTATGTGGGTAGAAGCTAGTGAAAGTGAGCTGGATGGACGAATGGTTTGGTAGCACAGTCCTTTGGTCTTTTACTGGAAATAGAAAATTAGATGGATATCCGAGCGCTTATCCGTATTCACGGAGATCGCTAAAAAACTACATGTTGGTGGTCTGGGCAGATTCAACTAGAGAAATTGATTGACCACTCCTTGATTCGAGCCAATAATACAGCGTAGTGTTTCAGAAAAGTACGAACACAATTTTTGGTGTAAAAATCGGTATTTACAGGAAAAGTTCTGAAGCAGAAAGTAAAGTTTTTGAAGATATTGCTACTAGTTTCCAACTCATCTTTCAAAACTGACAGTATGCTCTTCTCCATCAAATTGCGAGTTCTCCCTCATATGATGGAGCGTTACTTCAAATTTCACAGATACAGTCAATTGATGTCATATGCATTCACAATTAATTGATGATTAAACAAAGCCAGCTGATGTCAGATGAATTTTAGGACAATTATAAGACCATTTAACATTTCAGTACTCGCGCCAACTTTTGTAATACGAGCACTTGCGCGTTGTGCAAAATAAAACAGTATGTTATTTTTTATATGAGGGTATTTTATGAAATATGATAATCCCCAAAATATTTTTCAATTATTGGTCTATTGGAATTTCATGAAACATGTTGAGTTTCACGTTGAGTGCAATGATGCCACATATACAAATTTATCTGTAGTCAATATTTTGATACATATACAGTGTATCTCAAAATTGAGCGTACAGCCCAAGTAACATTGCAAGCTTTGTAGAGGTTTTATAGCACTCTACAAGTCTAAATCATGATCCATAGAACCTTCATAAAACCAAAATTGTTTTGTTGGAGATGTCCTTATATTAAACAGTTTTAAAAGTACAATTTAAAGGTTACGTTTCTGGCTGCTGAATCATTATAAATTTATCAATTATTAATACAATGTTGGACTTATTTGGTTGCGTTTATTAAAAGTAAGAGCAATTTGAGAAAACGCCTTTTCTTCATTCACAATGTTTCAAGAAATGTTTCTCAAAGGTGTACGCTCAATTTTGCGATACACTGTATATGTGTATACAGATTAAAGATTAAGAAAAACTTTCAGATTTTTCAGATAAGCAGGATTAATTTTAACTCTGGATTATTTCGATAAAAAATCTTTTTTTTTTCATTTTGATCACGAGCTCCTAACCCAAATAGCAATCTTTTGCTAAATGACAGGCACTGTGGTTAATTCTGTTATTGGATTTGTCGAATCGGTAAACAAGACGTTTAAACAACTCACCCCAGGTCAACTGAATATTTGAATAACGTACTATCAGAAATAAAGAATATTGTATGCCATTCGACTAAACATCCAAATGAAACTTTTATTTTGAGACAAAATATAATAAATCTGATAAAACAGAGGAACACAATTGCATAAAGATACATAGGTACAGATGTAACTATCCCAAAATGTTTGTTTTTGTTTCTTTATTATGGAGACTTTTAGCCTTTGGCAGATGTCACTACTGTTATATGCATTTACTGCTTTCCGTTAATTGTTCACAGAAGACAATGCGGTGTAAAACATGTTTGGTCCCTCTATACATGTATTTAGATAAACATCCGAAGTCCCTCTTTTTTTGTATATTCTGAACAAGAAATGCTTTATAAATTCGGTCGTTATGGAAATGCATATATAGAGGTACCAGACATGTTTTGCAGTGTCCGGAACTCTATTTTGTAGTCTGTGAGAGGAAAATCACAAATCGAGTGTCATCAAAATAAATGGAATGTACAAAGATTGAGCTCGTAAGGGTGAGAATAGTCTGAGAGGCAAAGTAGCTTACTGTCTTGGTAGTAAGGTTGAAAGTAAAATGTATTGAAATGGACTGTTTTAGTTAATTTACAGCCACCCTTCCAATCCATGTTGATATTTACTATCTATATGCACTTGGCCATACGAATTCTTGATAACTGCTTGTAATTATTGAAAATAATTGATTATCTCTTTTCTTCCATACTGAATTTCAACGATACCTACCAAGAAAACAGCGCCATCTTTTGGAATATTCATTATGGCCATCACTTAATTAATCATGCTTCTGCGTTTATTTTTCTACATATGTCACTGCTGTTCTTAATGTTTACATCTATGTAAAATTACGCATAAACTTGGTTCCGTTAATTGTTAACAGAGGGCAGTGCGGTCATGTATGGTACCTCTATATATGCATTTAGATTAACATCCGGAATCCCTCCTTTTTACATATTCCTTAGTTTTTTACATATTCTGCTCACATAATACTTTCTAAGCCCCGCCTCTAATAGGATTTCTCACCGTTTTTCATGAATGGGAATGTTATTCTAAATGCATAAAAAGGGCTACGAGACATTTTTTGTAGTCTATGAGAGGTAAATCACAAATAGAGTGTCTTCAAAATACATGGTATGTTGAGAGATTGAGCTCGTGAGAGTGATTTTTTTTCTCTAAAAATTCCATTTTTTGGCTCTCTAGGGACTGATAGTAAATTGGGTCAACCTGTATGGGAAAATTCTGTTTCTATTTAATCGTAGCTTGTTTAAAAATAACAGCCGGGAAAAACAGTCCCTGACTGATTTTTTGAGGTTGTCATTCACCATTGTTGACCTGAACATGTACCGAAAGCCGATTATTCGCAATTCTCTTAATTTTTATATGAAGATTTTTATTACTTCCTGCCAGCAGAACAGCGCCATCTCTGTGGAAAATGGCCACACTAAGCTTATTTTACAGAAATCTGTGAAATTTTACCGAAATCTCAACAGTCCGGTGATTTTTCACAGTTTTCCAGTAATTTGTCAACAAATATCTGTGAAAAATCACTGTTTACCGAATGTTCAGCTGTCGAGATTTCGGTAAAATTTCACAGATTTCGGTAAAATAATCTTAGTGTGTATGATTCATTGATTTTATTTCTTCTCCTATACTTTGATTTTTTTTTCAACTCTCTCCAGATATTACACTTTTTATTTTTTTTTTTCTTGTCCATGAATTTGTATTACAATTTTCCTTTAAGCTTCTTCCGACAGCCCTAGGAAGATCTTTCATACAGTCCCCAGAAGTCCTCCTGATTTACCCCAGAAGTGTGTTCTA